GATTATTGTATTTTTTTCTGAATGTTTATGAATCTTCCTTGGTACAGTGATCAACAATAAAACAGAATAAATGGATGCATTGAATAACAATAATTCTACAAATTGATTCTGCAGTATACCAACAGATAAACAAGATGCATTTGTTAGTTTGCTACACATAATCATGTTGATAAGACATTTTATTGACAAATTAATAGTATGAATGGAAAATTTTAACCATTATAAAAAATATCTTTGTATTCATGTAGAAAAACTAAAAGTGATAAAAGGTTAAGTCAGTACTCCTAAACAGTTATGGATTTAGAAAAATTATTTTTGGATTGAGAGCATCGTGACCTTTGGGACAAGGAGGGTTAATGGCAGGTGTAGCAAGGCCAGGCAGTTGAGGATCCACAGCAGTGTTTAAAATCTAAACAGTTTTAGGCATATTTTTGAATGACAATAATTTTGATGGTAAGGCATGTAAGTAAGAGGCCGGCCTTTAGATTTGCCACTGTTTCCATAATCCAAAAAGAAAAGAATAATAGAAAAAGAAGAAAACACGACAGTAAATAACATATATTTTGCAGCCAAATTTCACAAAGTATTTTTCATTGCACAAAATACCATACCATAGCAGATTTCTCAGAATAATTTTGAATTTCTTTTTTTGCATAAGCAAGAAAGTGTTTAAAATGCTGTAGGCGAGCAGATTTCTGGTATTTTGTCACTAAGCACTGTACTAGATCACAGGAAGTGACATATGTCTTAATGGATTAATCCCAGTGCAAATGATTTTTGATAAAGTAAACAAAGAAAATGATAATAGACAATATTTCAGTGTCTTACATAATTAATGCAAAAGTGCTTTAGCTGAACCAATTAACAAGTCATAACAGGAAAGTGTCCCAGTCTGAATTTGGAAGTGAATGATGTGTCACTATCCAGTACCATTGCTTCAACTCTTGAAAACGACTACCTTTAGGTGACGCCGGTCATTGAACCAAGAGCAGAAGAGACTGGGGCAGCTATCCAAAGCAATTTTCCAAATCGTCTGTGTTAAGACTACTCAGTAGGTAAGAAGACAGAGTTTCTCATTCCTCTCTTAAACTTTGGGGAAGTCGGTTCGCGGAGTTCATGTGGTGTCATGTGATCATCGAGTGGGTCACAATTCTAATCTTGTGACATGGTATTCAAACTTGTGGGTTCAAGCATGGCTTTCAGTATATACCGCACTGTTCATCTTCCTGCCTGCGCTGCATCCCCATGCGCACTGACTTCCTGGCCATCCTCCACATTTGCACATCTGTTTTGTCATCCTGGCTTGGGTCTTTGGTTGTGTGCCTCAGGGTTCTGGCAGGCAGGGCCCTTCTGGCGGTCCAATACCGTTCCCCCGGACCAGTTGAGGGGTGTGATCATCCCTCTCTGGAAGGGGAAGGGGGACTGATGGGACTGCAGCAATCACCGCGGCATCACACTGCTCAGTGTACCAGGCAAGGTTCTTGCCCGCATCCTTCAGAGGCATATTAGAGACCACCTACGGAGGCATCAGAGGCCAGAGCAATCTGGATTCACTCTTGGTAAGTCCACAATAGACCGTATCCTCACGCTTCGAGTCATTGTAGAGTCCCGTCATGAGTTCGGACGTGGGCTGCTTGCAGCCTACATCGACCTCAAGAAGGCGTTCGATACGATGCATCGGGAATCACTCTGAGAGATCCTGAGACTGAGAGGAATTCCAACAAGGATTATTGAACTAATAGCAAGCCTGAATTCTGGTACTGAAAGTGCTGTTAAGCGTGGTGGGGGCCTGTCGAGCTTCTTTCCTGTCAGTTCAGGAGTGAGGAAAGGCTGTGTTCTTGCACCAACACTTTTCAATACTTGCATGGACTGGATACTGGGCAGAGTTACTGTTCAAAGTCATTGTGGAGCAACATTGGGCAATATTAAGGTAACAGACCTTGACTTTGCCGATGATGCTTTTCTATCTTTGGAAACCCTAGTGGTGGCTCTCAATGCATTTAGTAATGAAGCGAAGCCCTTGGGTCTAGAGGTCTGGACCAAGACTAAGATCCAGGATCTGTTTGATCGGTAGGTGCTTGCGGCGAGGACATTGAAGTCACAGAGAGCTTTACATACCTTGGTAATGCAGTTCATAACTCTGGGCTGTTAGGCCAGGAAGTCAGCAGACGGATTGGCCTGGCAACAGGGGTCATGAACTCTCTCAACAAGAGTATTTGGAGATGCCGGTACCTGTGCAGAAGGATCAAGCTACGGGTTTTCAAGGCCCTGATAATGCCAGTTTTGCTCTATGGTAGTGAAACCTGGACATTATCTAGTGCCCTGGAGTCTTGTCTTGATGCCTTTTGTAATAGGTCCTTGCGCCGGATCATGGGGTACTGTTGGCGGGACCATGTGTCTAACCAACGGTTGCACAGTGAGACTGGCACAGCACCTGTGACCTGCACAATCCGGGAATACGAACTCAGGCTATATGGCCACCTTGCTCGCTTCCCACAGACTGAACCTGCTCTTCAGGTTGTTTCTGTAAGAAACAACCCTGGGTGGAGGAGGCTTGTGGGACGACCTAGGAGGTCGTGGCTTGGGCAGATCGATCAAACCTGTCGCGAGGAGCTCGAGATGGGCCGAGTCCCTGCCTGGCGGCTTGCCATGAGGGATCCCAAAAGGTGGACGCAGCTATGCGCCCCCGTCGGCGTTAGCTCCTAATGATGATGATGGTATTCAAGCTTGTGGGTTCAAGCATGGCTTTCAGTATATACCGCACTGTTCATCCTCTTGCCTGCGCCGCGTCCCCATGCGCACTGACTTCCTGGCCATCCTCCACATTTGCACATCCGTTTTGTCATCCTGGCTTGGGTCTTTGTGTGCCTCAGGGTTCTGGCAGGCAGGGCCCTTCTGGTGGCAGCCCGGAGCGGTCTGTTTATCTGTGCTGACAGGCACTGGGTTCTATGGGCATTCTGGCAGACTGAGACCTTACAGATGCATCTTACGTGGGTACTAGCGCTGACAAACGGCATTTTTAATCCCCTCTCCAATGTTGGCAATTTAGAAATTTAGTCTTTAGATCTGTTGACTTCTGACACACACACACACATACACATATATGTATATATGTGTGTGTGTGTGCGTATGTATATCTTATTCAGTTCAGTTTACTGTACAGTCAATGAAGGCAAAGCCAAGGAAGTGCTGAACGCCGATGGTTCTCTTCCCCCGAACTGGCTTATTTATTTCCAATGAATATGCTTTGGCTATTTTTCCATACATGAGTAAAGCAGTTCAGACGCGCCCTAATCACGCCTTAAAAATGAAACTGCCTCCTTATTTTTGTGCTTTCATATCGAATAAGCATTTTTTTTCTTTTTGACGGGAAGGAATAACGACAAACAACGAAGGTGCTCTTTTGCTAAGCATTTTTGTGCCTTCGTACTGTATACATATTTTTTTTTTTTTTTTTTTTTTTTTTTTTTTTTTTTTTTTTTTTTTTACCGAAAAGGAATAACGACAAACAACGAAGGTGCTCTTTTGCTAAACTTTCCCGGAAACGACTAGGATAACTAGCCATCTGAATTTGCAAAAACTCTCTGGTGGATGAGCATACTTAGCAACGTTATATATCCACCAATTAGACCAGTGTTGTCCAAACTGGGGTCCGCGTACCCCTGGTGGTACGCAACATGGATCATAGGAGCACGTGAATAAACAAGGAACACACACACGCCTAACATCTCGCATTAAGTTGTCTGAGTATTTTTCAAGCATTTCGTTATTAAATCATCTTTTTTTTTTATTCGTGTTTTAAATCCAAATTTATTGACCAACACTCCTATTATGCTGTCTTTTCATAAATAGTATATTATTTGCATTCTCTTAATTAAAACAGTTTGTTTAGCCATAGTGGACGGAGGGGTGGGGTAAGTTACAGTACAAGAAGATAATAAAGGGTACAAACAAAAATATTTGGACAACACTTAGACCACTGATTAGTCTTGAAATCGAGACACGGCGATCTACTGATGAGTGGAAGGAAATTGCGGGGATTTTGTGGAAGGATAAAATGGAAATGAGAGTCATTAGATGAATGAAAATTAAAGATGATAGATAAAATAGAATGAAATGAAAATGAAGGATAATAGATAAATGAATATAAAAAAAGTTGTACATAAATGAAAAATAAAGATAGATAAATGAAAATGAAAGATAATAGATAAATTAAGATAAAAAATATTAGATATATAAACATAAAACAATAGATCAATGAGAATGAAAGATAATCGGAAAAAAAATAATCAATCAATGGATTGAAGATATATAAACATAAAACAATAGATCAATGAGAATGAAAGATAATCGGAAAAGGAAAAAGGAAGATCATAGATTAATGAAAATGAATGATAAAGAAATGAAGGTTAATGAATAAATGAAAATGAAAAATGATAGATAAAGAAAAAATAAAGATGATAGAGAAATGAAAAGGAAAGATTATAGAGATATGAAAATGGAAGATGATAGAGAAATGATTATGAAAGAAAATAGATAAATGAAAATGAAATATAATAGATCAATGAAAGTAGATAGATGAAAATGAAGTAGAGAGATAAAAATAGATAAATGAAAATTAAAGATAATATAAATGAAAATGGCGGGAGAATTTAACAAAACGAAGAAGCAGAACTAGTGAATTTCGAAGTCAAATAAGCGAAACTTGTAAGTTAGACTCCAAAAATTTACGAAAATAGATGTATAAGATCGAGTTGATTCTTACGATAGAAAATGGGAGAATTATCATACTCATTGTTCTTTGGAGAATTGAGTTTTATTTCGTCTTAAGATTACCGTATCGGAGAAATGTGCGAAGTACAGAGTGGGATAGAGAATCATATATGTAGTTTATTGACTGATAAGAACGTGTCTAGTGTCTGAAATGAAATTAGAAGAATGATTGACAAAAGCCCGAAATTCCTCATCCTTTAATCACAACTTATTAATGTTATTATTAC